CCTCATGTTCTGTTGTTTGCTGCTTTTTGCGCATGTAAAATGAATCCCCGGGAAACAAATGTTAGTATCTTTAACGGTCACAGACACTTATCCTTTCTAATTTAATTCAATTCTAATTTAAAATAATCTTGTCGGTTAACGGTTAATAATCAGTTAACGAGCGTCGGTTGTCGGTTTGGAAAAATAACCGAAATGAACATCCCTACACTAAAGTTAAAACTAGATGTTCCATTTGCTTATAGAGACACTCCTTAATTCAGTTCTTGGAACGTAAATGAAGTGAGTGAGTGTTTCCATTAGTGCTCTCTGCACTTCCTCTGGCGGTCTGGAGTGAAAGGAAAATAGAAGTATCCTTATAAAAACAAAACCATTTATACAGTGGATTATCTGCCTTTTTCCTGGCTATGCTAAATCTTAAATGAAAGCAGATGACGGCAAGATAGAAAACGGGAAAAGAAAGTTTTGTGACAGAGACAGGAAACAGGAAGTTACCTGAGAGTCTGTGAGAGATACCAGGTAAGAAAGAGCTGACAGTGTGGAGCAGCATGGGCACACTTTTAGTGGCCGGCAAAGCCTCACAAAGATGCACACAGTTGCTGATAGATTGACTTCGCTTAGCTGCCCACAGAAGCAGGGAAGGAGAGCGCAGGGGAGAGAGAGAGACAGACAGACAGAGAGAGAGAGAGACGGGGAAAAGGATCAATTGCATTCTACAGCTGTGGTAATAGCAAGACAGTTTATTAAAGGTGAAGCGTGTCATTTCTGTGCAACCAAACACACACCTCTGGCTGAGCCAATATTTAGGCTTCAGAATTCATAAAAGTTTTGTGCACTTGTAAAGATTATTCTGATGAACAAAACCTGTAAGAATCATCAACTTTTGTTGGTCACAGAGCTTATTTTCTGCAATCCAAAAGCCAAAATCCTATTGGTTTTTGGAAGGCAATCATCAGGGTGATGCTGGCTTATTTGGCCTACAAAAATACGTCAACACTGCAGCTCTTTATGTTACTGTGTGGGGCTGCTTAGATTGATGGCTTGAAAACACCTTACTTAGAAATGTCTCTGCATTTTAAACTGGAATAGGAGACAGTATTTTAAAATCCTCAAAAATGACACACTTCAACTTGAAATGAAAAGCATGTTGTTCCCAACCCTGCAGTAACAACAAAAAAAGAGGTTGTCAATGAGTGTTTTCTTTTTTATGTACTTTACGATAATGTACTTTAAAACTGAAATCGAATGGGATTCAAGCAAAAGAATGATGGAAAATATTCCATCCCGATTCACGAACATAAAAAACGGTCCAAAAACAAACACACAAAAGAACCAAATGAGAGTAAAAAAAAAATGGCTAGTTGTCCGACAAGCAGCCTTTTCACTATCTACCCTCCTTTTATTCATCACTGTAAAATTAATAATGAACTTATGAATATATCCACAGAAAACAAATGACCACCAATACATCAGAAAAACAGAACACAGTAGGTTTTCTAGGCCTAATCAGTGGAAATGATTAAATTCTAAAAAAAAAAAAAAAAAGAATAGACAAAATTATTCACAAAAGTCCATTTTACAGAAATATTGTTTAGAATCAGCATTAAATAGAAGTGATTTTTTTCTGTATTGTGATGTATATGAGAGTGAAATGGCTTTTCGAAAAAGAGGAAAATGTAGGGTGGGACTTGATTTTGTCTATTGGGAATTGACCGGATTGTTGGATGATTGTCATTTGCTACTTGCTGCAATTGAACGTGTGTGACAAGCTGCTGGAGGGGAAAGGGTATTGACCCACACTCACAGGAAAGTTATTTCAATTAAAATGTTATTATTTTGATTAAAAATCGGCACATGACTTTAAATAATTATAACGATAATGTGCACAGATAAATCACTTATAATAAACACTACAATATTCTAGTGCTGGGCGGTATGACCAAACATTTATATCACGGTATTTT